AAAAACTAATGATGTAGGGCGCCTGGGTGGCTCAGTTGGTTAAGCGACTGCCTTCGGCTCGGGTCATGATCCTGGAGTCCCGGGATCGAGTCCCACATCGGGCTCCCTGCTCAGTGGGGAGTCTGCTTCTCCCTCTGACCCTCTTCCCTCTTGTGCTCTCTATCTCTCATTCTCTCTCTCTCTCAAATAAATAAATAAAAAATCTTAAAAAAATACTAATGATGTAATGTATGGTGATTAACATAACAATAAAAATTTAAAGAAAAAAATACAAAAGCTGAGGGGCACCTGGGTGGCACAGTTGGTTGAGTGTCCGGCTCTTGGTTTTGGCTCAGTCGTGGTCTCAGGGTTGTGAGAATGAGCCCTACATCAGGCTCCACGCTCAGTAAGGAATCTACTTAAGATTCTCTCTCCTAGGACACCTGGGTGGCTCAGTCAGTTAAGCGTCTGCCTTCAGCTGAGGTCATGATCCCAGGGTCTGGGACTGAGTCCCACATCGGGCTCCCTGCTCAGTGGGCAGCCTGCTTCTCCCTCTGCCTGTTGCTCCCCCTGCTTGTGTTCTCTTGTGCTCTCTCTCCAACAGATAAATTTTAAAAACCATTTAAAGGGCGCCTGGGTGGCTCAGTTGGTTAAGCGACTGCCTTCGGCTCAGGTCATGATCCTGGAGTCCCGGGATCGAGTCCCGCATCGGGCTCCCTGCTTGGCAGGGAGTCTGCTTCTCCCTCTGACCCTCTTCCCTCTCGTGCTGCTCTCTATCTCTTTCATTCTCTCTCTCCCAAATAAATTAATAAATCTTTTAAAAAAATAAAAATAAAAAATAAAAATAAAAATCATTTTAAAAAAAAGATACTCTATCCCTCGCCCTCTGCTCCCCCCATTCTCTTTCTCTCAAATAAATAAATAATCTTTTTAAAAATACAGAAGCTGAAATTTTAAAAATTTATTAGCAATATTACAAGATGGAATTTCTTTTGGAAATTAGGACAAAATAAGAGAGAAACAAATGATAGGATTATTGGCTCAGGAAACCCAACCCCAAATAACAGACATATTAGAAGGAAAAAGAAAAAAGAAGAGAAAAAAAGTAAATAAATAATAGAAGAAATTGGGCCACAAAAGAAGACCTGAATCCCTGGTTTAATGAGGCTTGTTGAGTTCCTAGCATAGCACAACAACTGCTCAATGGCCACACCAAGATATATCATCTTGATATTTCAGAACATTAGCACTAAAAGATGCTAAAATCTTCTAGAGAGCAGCTAGTCCAGGTTAGCAGTGAGCAAGGATTTAAGGGCAGAAAGAAAGAAACTTGCCTTTATTGGGTCTCCTCATGCCAGGCACTATGTTAGGACTTTGTTAGGTCATTTATTTGAATCACATTTAAGAATTACAGGGCGCCTGGCTGGCTCAGTGAGAGGAGCGTGTGACTTTTTTTTTTTTTTTAAGATTTTTATTTATTTATTTGACAGAGAGAGAGACAGCGAGGGAGGGAACACAAGCAGGGGGGAGTGGGAAAGGGAGAAGCAGGCTCCCCACCAAGCAGGGAGCCCGATGCGGGGCTCGATCCCAGGACTCTGAGATCATGACCTGAGCCGAAGGCAGTCGCTTAACCAACTGAGCCACCCAGGCGCCCCGTGGAGCGTGTGACTCTTGATCTCAGGGTTGTGAGTTTGAGCCCCATGTTGGGTGTAGAGAGTACTTAAATATATATATATATATAAAATATATAAAAGAATTGTTTCTGCATACTTGTAAGTATGATACGGTATCCTGGAAAGAATTAAGGCTATAAATTGGAAGACCTCAAGATCAGTCCCAAATTAGTATGTCTTTAACCATGAGACCTTGGGCAAACTGCTTACTATTGATGAGTCTCAATATTCTCACCTGTGAAAAAGATGAATTACACTAGATCAGTGGCCCTCAAAGTGTGATACAGGTATCATCAGTGATACAAGATACCAATGTTTAGGTTGAATAAAGAAATTTAAAAATAAGTTAATTGAAAGAAAGATATTGAGTAGGGGCGCCTAGGTGGCTCAGTCAGTTAAGCGTCTGCTTTTGGCTCAGGTCATGATCTCAGGGTCCTGGGATGGAGCCCCACGTCAGGCTCCCTGCTCAGTGGGGAGTCTGCTTCTCCCTCTCCCTCTCCCCCTGTTTGTGCTCTCTCTCTCTCTCTCTCTCTCTGGCTCACTCCTTCTCTCAAATAAATAAATAAATTTTTTTTTTAAAGAAAGATATTAAGTAAATAGAGATGCAGGGATATGACAAAGGTGAAAAGCTTGCTAATCATTGGAACACAATATATCCCAGGTTCTTTCCAGGGCTAACATTCAATTATTCTAAGCTACATCAGATACCAAGAGGGAATTTTCAGAAGGAACTGGATACTATTTACTCTAATACCACAGCTATGGTAGGGGCTGTACCTTCCTAATCAGAGAGTTGGACTTTTGAAAAACCCCTGCAACTTCATCAAGGCTTCGAACCTCTCTTCAGACTACAGTGTTTGCCAACAGCTAAAAGAGGAGAGTGACATTTATGTCACCTTCCCACCCATCCCATGCTGCATCCTCCAATCAATGGCCCCAGCCCCTTGTCCCTCTCTCCTTACTCACACATAGCAGAAGCCACTAAGTTCCACAATCTCCACCCTCTCCTCTCCGCAGACCCCAGAAGTAGTTGTGTGGCCCAGCATCTAGGGACTTTCCCTGGTCTGACAGACAAAAATTTATCTAACACCCGTCCTGGCCAAAGCTGGCTGAGCATCAGGAAAAATAATCCCTGTAACACTTGTTGCTAAACTTACTTCATCTCTTTCCTCATGGAAAGTGTCTTTTACTTTTATTTTTTTTTAAGATTATTTATTTATTTGACAGAGAGCGACACAGCGAGAGAGGGAACACAAGCAGGGGGAGTGGGAGAGGGAGGAGCAGGTTTCCCGCGGAGCAGGGAGCCCGATGCGGGGCTCGATGCGGGGCTCGATCCCAGGACCCTGGGATCACGACCCGAGCCAAAAGCAGACGCTTAACGACTGCGCCACCCAGGTGCCCCTGTCTTTTACTTTCAAAAGAGGGTGCATCAAGACTCTCTAGTTTGGTCCCAGAGTAAGAACAAAGAAGCAGACCATGTGCACCTGTAACTCTGAGCCAATGTCCTTGGGTCCACGACCATTTTCAAAAGCCTGTTGTGGAGCAAGGCTATGCATTCCTCCCCACTGGAAGGCACAAACCTGCTTCAGGTGGGGGGCAGGGAGGGCTGCCAGCAGGTAAACAGAGCCCAAGTGCCTGCGTCCCAGCTACCTACCGGAGCCTCACGAGCTAGACTCCCAGCCCAGCGGATCCCAGATACCTCAGAGCAGCTCCAGAAACTGCAGACTGTTCGCCGAGTCCCCTGACAGCTGGGTCAGAAGCACCAGAAAACCTCATCATCCCGTTTTCACTTCCTGTCAGGGCAGGTTTCACTTCCTCCCAGCCTCATGTTGCTCAGGGCCTCCAAAGGGAGGCAAGGAAGACAGGGTCTGGCAGAGCCGAGGCAGCAAGTGGGCCTGAGAGTATGGGTTCACATGTGTGTGTGCCTGTGTGCACGCCTGTGTGCTCGTGCGGTGATTTGCGTGTGTGTTTGTATGTGGTCATGTGCATTTGTGTGGGGGTTATGTACATCTTTACGTGCATGTGCATGTGTGGGGGGGGTTATGTATGTGTCTGTGAGGAAGTTATATGCATGTTTGTGTGTGTCTATGTGTTTGTGTGGGTTTACGCGCATGTGTGGGCTTCTGTATGTTTGGGGAGAGGATATGTGTGTGTGTGTGTTTGTTTTTGAGGTGTCTTTGTAGGGTCCAGAGCATAGTTTTAGACAACAAGCACCACGTGGAGGCACTCCAAAATCTGCTGATGAACTTTGGGAATCATAGCTTTCCTCCAAATGTGATTGTGAATTGTGGGGCAACCTTCCGAACAGAGGGTGAATAGGTAGATATACAAGAAGGTAAATGATTTAAGGGGAAAATACACAGATCTGGGGGCAGGACAGTTGAGGAAGTAGGGAGGTGTGAGGCAAGAGCAAGGGGGCAGGGAGGACGGGCAAGAAGGCAAGAGGCAGAAGGCTCCAGAGGAAGAGCAGAGTGGGACCAGGCCCTGATACCTAGACGCTGGAGTCAGGCCTATGGCCTTTTGCAGCTGTGTGGCCTTAGCTGTGTTATTTAAACTCTCTACACTTTGGAGTCCTCATCTGAAAATGGAGGTCTAAAAGCAATGACGACACAGGGTCCACTGTGAGAATGTATGCAAAGTCTCCAGGGCATAGTAAGTTCTCAAGAAATAGCAGCCATTACTACTATCAGAAATAACTATTGTGACATATCGTCCAAGTCGTGTGAGACCGTACCAGTGACTTCTGCGATACACGCCCGCCTGCTCCACAGACTTGTCGAGTGCCCCTCCTTCCCAGGCCCCTCTCAAGGCCTTCTGCACCAGAGCCACCCACAAACCACCCAGCACTTCCACTTCTGCTGTTCCTAAACGTCTGGAACCTTGGGGCCCTGTGTCATCATCTTCTCCAAAAAGTAAAAAGGTCACCCGTTTCATAAACAAGAAGAAATCCAAAAGTGAAAATACAGAGGAACTAGCAATTCCCTCATCACAAGTTCAAGATTAATTTTTTTACAAGTCTGTGCAATCAGAAGAAACAAACAAGCTGCAAAGACAGACTAAACTGACCTACAGAAGGGTAGGAGGGGAAAAATCACCAATTTTGAACATAAATCATTAGGAGATTTTTTAAGATACTAGAGCTAAAGGTAGAGCTTTTCTTTCCAAAAGCTTTGGTTAAAAGTAAGAGCTAATGTTCACATCGCAAAGGATTGGCTCTGGAGACTCTGGCTCATGACTTGGCCGGGAAGTGCAGAGCCAGGGGAGGGCTGTGGGTCTTGAGGCTGGAGTTATTTCCTCAGGCCAAAGCTACTTGGGCCAGGGGAGTGGAGGACCCAGATGTTGAGACAGAAGCAGAGGGGGAATGGCTGGGGGCGCACACCAGGATCAGAAACATTGAAGCGAAGCAGGGTCAGACCAGGAGACTCAGCAGGACCTGCAAACCTCTTGGTCTTCGGAGCCATCAGCCTCCTCAGGGGTGTGGCAGTAAGCACGTCTAGCAGAAGAGGTATGCCGTCTGACAACAGCAAGCCACGGTGTAAAACGGTGAGGCCGTTCTGGAAGGATATTCTGCCAACTGCAGAGACTGTAAAATATGGAACAGGGCTCTGCTTTTTATGCTTTATTGAAGACAACCATCAGAAGCAGAACTGGCCCTGTTTCAGAATCTAAAAAATCTACAGGGTAGAAAAATGGAACCAATGTGTCTTTTAGTGATTTCAAAGCTTAACCTAAATGGAATGAAGTCTGATAGGACAGGCGGGTTATGCCCCCAAAACTAGAGACAAGGAGAGGTTTTCAGAATTAAAGATGGGGTATGGCTACAAAAATATTTGAGAGGTATTTTCATTAGAACAGTGCTTTCTCCCATCAATGCCATGAATTATATGCCGTTGCTGTGTGTAACCTACAGCAAACTATAGGAGAGCTACCTATGGTGGAAGGTTTTGAAGTGCTGGAAATACCACTTCAACAGAAGATAAATAAGGATCTCTGACCCCAGAGTTTAAAAAAATGAAATAATAGCTAAAATTTATTGAGAATTATATATATTTACTAATTTAATCCTTGCAGTGATCTTATAAGGTAGGGACTATTGCTAGCTCTCCTTGACCAGTGAGTGCACCGAAGCACCTGGATGGAGGTTGGTGACTTGCCCAAGGTCACACAGCTGGACCTGCACTTTCCACCTACAGCCTTCCCTGGTAGCAAGGAAACAGAGGTCTTCAAGGTGGTGGCGAGCCACTGGTGTGGGAGAGCACCCCTCAAGACAGAAGGGCAGATCCCTGGAGGAGAGCCCAATTCGCAAAGATGGGACACAGGAACAGATATTACCGGGTATAAGATGATTTTTCTAGATACTGGGAGCTTGTGCTTTTAATAGCCAAAGTTTTTCAGGAAGCAAAAAATTAGCTCTTTCAAGGAATTGCTGCGTGATTTTGAAAAAAAAATCTCAACATCTATGAGCTTAATGCCTTTATCTGCAATAAGGGAAGAATAACATGTACTTCCTACTAAGTTTTTTAACCAAGTAAGTTTGTGTGCGTTAAATAATACACATGAAAATATTTCTTTCTCTCTCTCTCTCTTTTTTTTTTTTTTAGGGAGAGAGAGAGCACAAGAGGTGGAAGAGGAGGTAGAGGGAGAGAGAGAGAATCTTAAACCGACTCCACGATCAGCAAGGAGCCCCATGTAGGGCTTGATCTCACGACCCTGAGATCATGACCTGAGCTGAAGTCAAGAGTCGGATGCTTAACCGACTGCACCACCCAGGTGCCCCTTAAGATTTTATTTTTTTAAATAATCTCTACACCCAACATGGGGCTTGAACCCTCAATCCCTAGATCAAGACTCACATGTCCTACCGACTGAGCCAGTCAGGCGCTTCCAAACTAGACCTATTTAAACAAAAAAACAAAACCCCTAGAGCTACAGACATTCTTTCCGAACTCTCTTTAGCAGAGCACTGCAGATTTCTTTGGGGGAAGAGAAACAGTTTCTAGCTTAGTTAAGGATGGCGTACCCTACTAAAAATGAAGATAATACTGAAATTTTGCACACTTAACAAGACTTTTCCCCTACTAGTCTCTCAGACATCAGCAACCAGTTACATACCCACAGTGAAGAAAAGGGAAAAGCTTCCCCTGGGGCTTTCACCAGCCACTGATAATAGCCCTAAAGATACTGACAGAGACTTACCAGATCACTTTATAGCACAAGGGATGGCCAACAACCACCCCTCCCCCACATACACAGGGCTTATAGCATTCTGTTATTATCCCACTCTTTTTTTTTTTTTAAGATTTTATTTAGGGGCGCCTGGGTGGCTTAGATGGTTAAGCATCTGCCTTCAGCTCAGGTCATGATCCCAGGGTCCTGGGATCGAGTCCCGCATCGGGCTTCCTGCTCCTTGGGAGGCTGCCTCTCTCTCTGCTTCTCTCTCTCTCTCTCTCCCCCTCAACGTCTCTCATGAATAAATAAATAAAATCTTTAAAAAAAAAGATTTTATTTATTTATTTGACAGAGAGACACAGCAAGAGCAGGAACACAAGCAGGGGGAGTGGGAGAGGGAGAAGCAGGCTTCCCGCCCAGCAGGGAGCCCGATGCGGGGCTGGATCCCAGGACCCCGGGATCATGACCTGAGCGGAAGGCAGACGCTTAACAACTGAGCCACCCAGGCGCCCCTCTTTTTTTTTAATATTTTATTTACTTAATTGAGAGAGAAAGAGACAGAAACAGCAACAGAGATCAGAGTGGGAGGAGGAGAAGCAGGCTCCCAGCTCAGCAGGGATCCCGACCCTGAGATCATGACCTGAGTTGAAGGCAGAGGCTTAACCGACTGAGCCACCCAGCCGCCCCTACCTCACTCTTAAATATAGGTAGACATCCAGGAGCCGCTACATTTGAGGTATGCTATTTTCTGACAGAGCAAAAAGTATCTTGGAAGAAAGAGAATGGGAGAGAGACGAAAACTCCATTTAATATATTAGTATCAGAGACGTAAGAGAAGATATCATACCCATGAAACAAGGACAGGTTGTTATAAAGAATAGTCAAAGAGTGAAAACTAACTCGGCACAAATGATGGATAGGAAAAATGAAAAACTACAGAAAAATTGAACAATGAAGTTAATATCTTCCAGAAGGTAGAACAAAAAGAGGAAGAAAAGAAAAAGTGGAGGAAAAATATTTTTTAATTTTTTATTATTATTATTTTTAATTTATTTATTTGAGAAAGTGAGAGCATGAGTGGAGGGGCAGAGGGAGAGGGAGAAGCAGGGAGCCTGACACAGGGCTCCATCCCAGGAACCTGGGATCATGACCTGAGCTGAAGGCAGACGCTTAACTGACTGAGCCACTCAGGTACCCCGGGAAAAGATTTTTTTAAAAAGGAAAAACAGCCAAAAAAAAAAAAAAAAAAAAAAATCAAAGGTATAAAAACGTTATGTTCCAGAAAGAGAAAACAGAGTGGAGAAAAACCAAAGCAATAGCTCAAGAAAATATCTTAGAGGGGCACCTGGGTGGCTCAGTTGTTAAGCGTCTGCCTTCAGCTCAGATCATGATCCCAGGGTCCTGGGATTGAGCCCCGCGTCGGGCTCCCTGCTCAGCGGGGAGCCTGCTTCTCCCTCTCCCACTCCCCCTGCTTGTGTTCTCTCGCTGTCTCTCTCTGCCAAATAAATAAATAAAATCTTTAAAAAAAATAAAAAGTAAATTAAAAAAAGAAAATATCTTAGAATGGAAAGACATGTGAGTCTAGATCGAAA